ATGGGGGCACGTACTCCCTGGCCCTCCCTGTTGTTCTATTTATTATAAGAGAATCCATGTCATAAATACTATTCAAATAACAGAATTACGTTTAACTTGTTATGCATGTCAAATACAGTTTTTTGAATTCTTTGATTTGAATCGTATTTATGAGTACGTTTAAATTTTGACGGTAGTAAGACAAATTTATAATAAAGTAATTTTATTTTAATTCTAAATAAATTCCTTTTTATTATAATTTAAGTTTTACACTACAAAAACAATAGTATAGTAGTATTTACAAAAATAAATATTTACAGAGTTAGAATTTTAGATTAGAAAAAGTTCAAATTTATAATAGAGGTTTAAAATTAAAGTCAACAATTAGCTTTTGTATTACTATTTTAATTATTACAATTATATTAAATAAATTACTATTTTAACTATTACTTTTTTATTTATTACAATTTAATTATATTTAATTAACTATTTTGCTGTTCAGATTTGTTACCACAAACGCAAAAGAAACGCGTTGTTGACCTTACCACACTCGCGACATAAGATTTTCCAACAAACGCATTAAAAGGCGTTAATCAAATTTAAACTATATTTTAACAGCTCTTATTTTTAGAATAGGAGAGCGTTTCCAAAACGCACCTTCTTATGAAAATTAGTTTTTATATTCTTTTTTTTAAAAAAAATTGTTTTAATGTTTTTCCTGTAATAAATTTAACATTTTTGTCCGCATCACATCCTGACAGATTTTATTTCCTTTGTTTTCCAGTAGGTCAATAGTTCTATTCTTTTTTGAGCAATGTTGTTGGTTTACTAGGCTCCACCCTTTGTCATCATTAGTAAATTTCTCTTTGAGACACGTTTTTCTTTTAGCTCAATTATTTACCTTCAACAGAACCTGTTTAAAAGATTGGATGTCAGAACTTCTGCTGCTCAGCTTTTTTTAAGCCAGACCAAGGCATGGCTTATAAAAATGAAGACAGTAAGTGTGTTACAACTTGGAACTTGGAAGATAAAAATGTTGCAGATTTATAGTTCTCAAACGTTATTTGCCATTTTAAATAGTCCTAGTCCCTTCTATTGCCATAGGTTTAATAGTCCTAGACACCTTTGCTGCGTGTTTGTTATTCCCAGGTGTCATGGGCGTCGTTTCATCTCAGGCACCGTGACTGCAAAGAATTCTAAAACTGAATTAGTAAGATTACATAAAATCATAGCTTGTGAATATATTACAAATATTAGGTATATCTTGAGCTACCTCTGGGTCGTATGTAATATTATTAAAATTATTTATGGGACGTATATACTAATCCTCAATCTTGCTGGAACACAATATTTTTGTCTGGACAGTAGTAGATTTTGATATGGGGCTTGACATAGATCTCCAGGATTTGAATATGCTCATTGGTGTTGATTTTCTGATTTGACGAAAACCGGAAACATTTTAGACCATCAGAAGAAACCATACAAGCGACTTAACTTAAGCCAGACTTTTGGTCTTGAATGTATACTTGGTACTGCTTTGAATGGTTGATAACTAATAAAGCAATTGGTTTTGCTGTTTAACACAGAATTAACTCTAAACAATTTCTGAAAAGAAGATGGTTGTTGGTTTCTTCTCTAGGAGTCTCAAAAATCTCTTTGATCTTTCAAATCTTTTTTTTTTTTATATTTGGAAAAACCAGTGTTTCTTTTTTGATTTTGCTAGAAATTTGGCCCTCAACAGTCTTGATCATTTAGGAAGATCAAACCACTGTCAAGCTTCCGCTTCCACCATTAAACCATTGTCAAGCTTCCTCTTAACATGACAAGTTGTTTAGAAACGTTTAATCGCAGTGTAGACAGTATTTTGAGACTTGTTTTGTATCTTGGAATGTCTTTGAGCGTGGTACCATTTATGACCAGGACCGCAACAGGTTTATTTTTACTACTCATTTCCACTTTTTGGCTTTTTTTTTTGTTTATTTTTATTTTCAAGATTAAAGGCATTTACAGTTACCAATTATGTGCATAAAATAACTAACGGAACATATAGCTTATTACGGGATTTGTGGTTGTGGTTGTATCTTTGTAAGTAGTTACACATTTTATTACTGATGGTCAATTCCATGGTCTTTTGAAAATTAGGTATCGTTTTGAAACAATTTATTGGCTTGAATGTTTGTCTAAAAGTAGTAACTTTGTTTCCTTGCTGGCAAAGCAATGTTGGCAAAATGCTGAAGCCACATTAAAAAACATCCGGAATAGTTTAACCACTTTTGGTTGCAAAGTCTAAAGTTTAAAAGTGGTCTTTTTAATAATTAAATACTTCTTTTAACGGTATCTTGAGTAGATTATTGCTGGTGGTATATAACTTGAATTAACCAAGTGCATTGAATACACTTATAGTTGTCATCGTTTTTTCCTCGCTCTTCGCTTGTTAACCTTGCCGGCTTGCTTTATGCCCATTTCTTTGTTAAAATACTAAGTTTAGGGACAGACTTCAATTCACTCCATCCATTCGTTTTATTCACATCCAGATTCGTAAACTATCTATGTTTACATCTTAGACAGTATTGTAAGGGCAAGAGTTTTATTTTCGCCAACTGCAAGACCAATTTTAAAACGTTACTTTGTATAAAACCATAAAGAAGTATCAATTTATAAAGAAGTATCAAATAGAAATTAAAGTCTTTAGTTGTGAAAATCTTTGCGTACGTTTTGGCCTAAACTCTTAATCTAGGCCTTGATCTTATAATTCTTAGCGTTGACCTTGTCCTTGGTATTGGTCTTGACTTTAGCCTTGTACCAAGTGGTCTTGGCTTTGTTTTTAGCCTTGTAACATTTTGGTCTTGGTCTTGGCTTTTGCTTAGTAACATGTGGCCTTGGCCTTGCTACTTTTGGCCTTGTTAACAACTCTGGTTACAACCCTCACACAACTCTATAACTCCAAAAAATGAACCTTGATGAATAAGGTTAAGAGCGATACTACCAGGGACGTGTTGGGGATTGAAATCAGAACTTCTTGATTATGGGGCAAGCGCTACACCACTACCACATTTTATACCCAAGTTTTCTAAAACTACCTTTTATTTGTCTTTGAAGTGTTCAACATGGTGTGGTATGTTGTACTTCCTAAAAATACCGTAATATAATTGACCATCAAGCAAACCTTCAAATACTACCTTTTGCGCATTTTTTAACATAGTAACATTCCATATGTAAATCATTAGGTTAACAATTTATTTTTAAATAACTTATATAATCAGTATATTGTCGTCAATCGGTTAAACGGTCTGGCACATTCACGAAAATTTATTTTTGACCCAGATATGGTTTTCAATGAGTTTGTCTTGAGCACACGTAAACTGGATTTTGTATTATAATAATTTGTCTTGTGTTTACAAACCTGCAGTCAACTGAAGTTTATATGCTTTTTAATGAACTAAATGTAGTCAACTGATGTTTATGAACTTGTAGACTGTAGTCAAATGGTGTTAATAAACTTGTAGTCTATAGTCTACTAGTGTTAATGAACTTTTAAAAATGTGTTTATTAATTTATAATTAATTTTTCATGTAAGAGATAATTTATTTTTCGTTTAAATTAAAATATTTTATATGCAGTACCGGATCAAGGGGGCTAGGGGGCTATAGCCCCATCACCCGCAAATTTAGGGACCCCCAAAAATTTTAGAGAACTTTTTTTTTATTTTTAGTCATTTTTAGGCTAAGGCCCATAAAAAACAAAAATAGCCCCGGGCCACAAGAAGTCATAATCCGCCACTGGTTATATGATATAAGATTGACTGCATTATATTACATTGGATTTTACATTACTTTAGAATTTTTCGCTTAATAGAAAATTATTTTGCATCTTTTAATTTATATTAGTCGAAATAAAGTTGTCATAGAAGTAATTATGCTAATTATTATGTTTATAGATAAAGACAAATATTAAAAATTTTTATTGTTTTAAAATTTTAATGTTACTTGTAAAAGAAATTTTTTAATTGTAGTGTTTTTAAATTGTAATTTTAGTAATGAAACTTATACTTTACTATAAAAATACATATAGATTTTTGATATATTCATTTTAGGAAAGCAATCAAGGAAAGATTAACAAACATGATTAGAATGAATCCAATGCAACAAAAAAGTGATAATAATAAAGGTAAAAAAAAGACTCAAGGAATCACACCTTTAAAAGATATAGCAATTGAAAAAGGACGAGAACCAATTCACTTATGGTCACACAAAAGAAAAACAAAGTTACTAAATAAAGGAAGCTACCGGTACTTTTTTTATACGATTACTATAAATACGTTGAAAAGTTTTTTTCAGAGCTTCAATATTATGGTGGTGGTTCAGATGGCGCTAGCCGCAGGGGCGGTTTACTTATCAACGTACTTCAAACTAAGTTTTGATTTTAATGTCAATTTGTTTATTTCTCCAATTGTATTTCCGCTAGCTTTCTCAATTAATGCCGATTTCCAGAGAAGAGAAAAGGTTTTGGATGATCTAGCAAACTTTAAAGCAGCCGTTATGGTTTGGTTTTTTTGTATGCGCGATTGGAAGGAGGCATCTAGTCTAGACAAAGTATGGATGCAAGCTGTTCATCTGAAACTAAAAAGTATTCTTTTTCATACACGCGAATATCTCATTACAAAAAAACTATTACGGCGAAAAGTAATTCTCAGAGCAATTTACGAAGATTTTAGCGACATTAATCAGCTAGTTGAAATAGTTCGAAAAAGCCCCTTGCCTGCAAACACATCTCTTGTAGCCAGAGTGCATCTGATATTCAACTCATTGTTTCTTGCATTTGAGCGTCTTAGAGTTGTTCGTGAATATCGCTCACCACGTTCCATACGTTCTTTTAACAAAATTTTAATTTTTTTTTTCCCGACATTGATATCGCCATACTGCGTACTTTTAGGTAAAACAACAGTAAACAAGTGGTCTCCCTATTACATATCTGTACTAGTCGCGTTTGTCTTTTCAGCATTGCAAGGGGTTCAGGACAGACTTGATGATCCATTTGATGGAATGAGCGAAGATGACATAAATCTATCATCAATAGACGAATGGACTTTTAACTTTTTAGAAGCCACTAAAGATAGAATATTAACAATTGATAGTTTTTAAAGAAATGGTTTAAAGCTAAAAACGATTGTTTAGCTTGAATTGATTTGGGTTTAAAAGGGAGAAAGGACATTTAATAATCTGATCTGAGTTTTAACCGCACATTAAAAAAGAGTGCGTCCAAAATGTACGTACTAGAAGATTTTATGAAATCTGGAACAATAAAACATATTTTTGGATAACTTATTTCTTTATAACTGTTATTCTTTATAATTATTAGGCATTAGTTAAGAAAGAAAAATTAGTTCAAATGAGTCATATGTAAATCAGAAAACGTTTACATATATTCTATTTACAAGAGAAGTAAAAAATAACAATATTATAGTTATATTTCAATCATAATTGATTGGCTTATGATTTTTATGGAAGTATTTAGATAAAATATGTTTCTAAAAAAAAGACAACTGATGATTAGAAAAAAGTATATCAAATTAGTCTTTTTATATATTTCTTATATATATTCTTTTGGTATATTTGTATGTATGTATGTATGTATGTATGTATGTATGTATGTATGTATGTATGTATGTATGTATGTATGTATGTATGTGTGTATGGATATGCGCTACGGCTTTTTTTGTAAAGTTTTATCTTTTGGAGTTGTAGGGATAACTTTTTATGTGTGTTTGTGTGAGTGTGGGGAGGGGGGGAAGGAGGTAGTGGGGAGGAAGGGTAACTACAACTAAAATAACAAAATGCCTTCTCAACGGTAGTGGTTTGTTCGGCCCTTAAAGTGAACGCAATAGAAATAAAAATATACTTATATTTATTTATACTTATATTTTATCATGGGTTTCTTAGAATATGAGAAAAATTCTTAAAAAAAAACTTAGCCAATATTGTTTGTTTTTAACTTGTTTAAATATGTTTTATAGAGATAAAAAAAATTTAGAATCAACTAAGATAAATACTGAACTATTTTAAACGATTTCAATTTTTAAATTTAAGAATATTTTAATTTTTATAAATGTTTTTAACTAAAACTTTCATTTTAGTGCTAAAAAATTTCAGAAAAAAACTTTTTTGTGTGAATTTGTGAATTTGTGTGATGATAAAGAAATGTCAAACGATGGAAAAGATTCAGAGTACCATTTAAACTTTTTTCGAGCCTCGAATTGGAATAAGACAAAAAGAAACTTATTTTATTTTATTTTTTTCTAAAAACTTACAAACATATATTAAAAAAAAAAAAATCCACCCTTCTCATTATCAAACACCATGATTGAGATTTAAAAATTTACAATTAGAATTTATGAGAAAGGGCGAGTTTTCGCCCTTTCTCATAAATTCTAATTGTAAATTTTTACAAAAAATTAAAACAAAAATAAATAAAAAACTTGTTAAAAATACAAAACTAAATATTTTAACAAAATTCAACATAATTTTCTCAAATAATTTAAACTTATTTAATTCTGTCAAAGCCTTTTTTTATTTACTAAAATTATATCTTATCTCCAAGAGCCAAAATTTATCTCCCAGGGTACATTTCATCTACAATAATTACGCAAGTATTTAATTTAAGTTTCTGGATAATACTGTCTCATTATATGTTACAAGTGAACTAAGAAACCGTTGAATGTTTTAACTAAGACAGTAGATCAAAGAAATATATAGTTGTGAGGGTACAATTTGGAAATTTATATTTCAAAAAGACCGTAATTTTAGAAACTCCCAAAGTTTAGAGAAGCCATATTAAAAGCATCCTAATAAACTCTTTATTGACAAGAACTACTCGTTGTAGTTAAGGCAATTTTAAAACATTATAGCGTCTATATGATAATTTGTTAACTACTACATATTTCCGTTAAAGGATCAGGTCTGTAAATTATGAAAAAAAGAAAAAAATTAAAATGATAAATTTTGCGGTATCATAAAGTATAAATATTTATAGCGAAAAAATCCAGACCGAAGATTCTTTTTTTTTAAAAAAAAAAAATTTTTAAATTACAATCGCTTGTTCAAATTTTAATAAGATTTTAAATAAATACGTTTTTTAGGTGAAATGAGCATTATAGTTTAACAGTGCCGCCGAGAGGATGGAGGGGTTTAGACAGTTTGTCCCGGGCGGCAGATATCCAAGGGGCGCCAAATGAAATAAAGGTACCTGTAAAAAAAAAATAATAATAATCCTTCATCTTTAATATAGCGCAAATTTTGATAAATAAGAGTGCCAACTAGGGTTCCAGGCTCCGTGAAGGTTCTCAGCGGCTCTGAGTCTTGGTTCAAGTATGTGTTGTTTTCCGAGAAAAAAGTCGCAAAAATGCCGTTTTCATTTTTATACTTTTAAAATATTTGGCAAGTTAAGGTGGGAACCCCAAATGTTTTTCTATAAAAATAAAGGGTAGTAATAGTAACCAATAGTAATTTCCGCTTCTAATTCTAATTTATGTTAAAGATCTGTTTAAAGCTTCCTTCTGACAGTATTTAGCAACAAGACCATTGATCTAGACAAAGTTTCCGAATGATCAAACAAACTATCATTGAACATCTTTATGTTTAAAAAGAATGGTCAAACAAACTATTGTTAAATATCTTTATGTTAAAAAATACTGGCCTTTGCATTTTTTTGAAGATATGCGCATTATAAGAGCTTAATCAAAAATATTTTAGGTGTCTAAATAAATGAAAATCTTACTTGGAAATTCCAAGTTTGCACGGTTAGCACGATCCTTATAATGCCTACCTAGCTGTCCCAAAAACGCCACTTATACGGAAAGTTCGCATACACATCAAGGTACCCTGTGATGCAAATTTTGAAATCATTTAATTTTGTCCGCGGAAAATAATTTAATTTGAATGTCCAAATTAATCAAATTTTGACTTCATAGTGCGCCAATAAAAACACTTGTAGAACTTGAACCACTCAATATAATTTAATAAAAATTGGTGCAAATGTAGCCAATAGTCACACCAAACTCTGGACAAAATTTCAGCCTGATTAAATGATGGTATAGGATTTATTGCAGTTTTAGTTGAAGTTTTGTCAGCTTTTTTCTACTTATACCTCAAAGCGTTACGGATTACTTTGAAATTCGGTCACTATTTTTTTCGGTCAACATTTTGTTGACCTATTCGGTTAACATTTCCTAAAGTATAAACTAATGCAAGAATGCAAAAAAAATCTGAAAAAAATAGTAAAAAAGTATATCTAGGGATACCTACATTGAAAATAAAAATATTTAATTATCTGAAAACAATTTTATATTGACAAAAACAATTGACTTGAAAAATTTAGATAAGTTAACTAAGATATTTAACCAATACAAAGTTTGGAGGACCAGTTAGAGGGAAATTATTCTAACTGAATAATTAATTAGGTTGAAGGGTTGTTTTGAAATAAAACAACCCGTGTGACAAGTATCATTAGTTTAATAAGTGTGACAATTATCAATAATGTAATTTCCTTACAAGTAAACAGTTCAAACAGTTGTTTCCTGGTAAGGAAAGAACTGTTCTAGAATTATTTCCTTGTAATTTAATATTACCTAAATTAAATCAATTAAATATTTCCTTTATTTTAATACTTTTTAATTAATAATATGTGTTACTATGTTAAGTGCATTGTTATCAAATATAAAATTAGGTCAAATTTTGTAAAAGGCAGAGTTTGATTTAGTGAAATCAAATTTAGTGAATTGCCACGAAGCCAAATCAAGCAAAGAATCATGATGAAAATCAAAAATTTGTGTGCTATCTCTGTCTAAAAAAATGTTTAAGACAGCTTACTACTTTTCAAGATGATCGAATATGCCAACTGTACAAGATCAATATCAGTGATACTCGACTACCAAAAGGATTATATATATTGTGAAGAAATACTTTGCGCAGGAAACAAGAAGGGAAAGAAGTTGCAATCCCTCCTTTGTTTGATTTTAAGTCAATACAAGTGAGACCTGAAACAAGAGGTACGATGTGTTTTTGCCTAATATGCCAAATTGGTCGTTCAAAGCTGCAAGAAAAACATCCTCTTATGGAGCCACTATTGAGAAAAACCATAGGTGAAAGTTGCAAATATAATTTGTGGTCTTCAAACGCATTCAAGTACGCCTCCTTGCACCTGGTGTGACGTCAAATCCAATTGTCTTGCCAAATTTGGAAACTTGCGAACACTGGGCTCAAATAATTTAAGCCTTGAGTCTTTTCAGCAATCTGGCGTTGTTGCTAATGCAAAGCTGTTTTGCAATTTCAATCGAAAGCCAATCATCTGCGGGCTTGTCAATGTTCTGATTTTGGAAATCATTCTACCGATGGAATTGCATCTCCTCTTAGGAGTTGTCAACCATCTTTTCAAGATCCTTAAAACTGCTTGGATAGAAGCTGTTAAGTGGCCAACCGCCCTCCACATTTAACTGAGACCGTATCATGGGGGTCAGTTTGAGGGAAATAAATGCAGGAAGCTTTTTTAAAATGTGAATATGCTGCAGGAATTTGCTGAGACAAATATGATTCCCAATATTGTGTGCATAATTGAAGCATTCAAAAGCTTCAATTTGGTTGTTAAGGCTTGCTTTGGATACATTCTTCAGCCGGATTTCACTGAAAAAATTGAAAATTTCAAAAAGTGTTACCTAATGATAACTGGTGCAAGCGTAACACCCAAAATTCACACCGTCTTCTACCACATCAAGGATTTCATCAGTCATTAAGGATCCACCTTGGGGCCCTATAGTGAACAAACTGTCAAAACATCTCCTCGAGATTTTTATCAACATTGGTCGATGTATAAGCGAAATAATAATCATCCAGAGTACAAAGAAAGATTGCTGCTCTGCATATTTGATCTAAACAGTATGCATCTTTAAAGAACATCATTTGAGTTATTAAAAATTAGGCTGCTAAAATTCATATTTTACGGCGTATAATGAATATTTTCACCATATTTAAAAGTAGTATTATAAGTATTTGTATTAAAAGAGTACATTGAGCTATTTATTAATAATCTTTTGGTGGAGAAAATCAAAAAAACATTTCTTAAAATGTAATTCGATATTTGATGGTAATACAATGTAAAAAGATAGAGTTTAAATAGTTTTCACTTCATTTTGAAAGTAAATGTATTTAAGGAGGTCAATACAAAATATTTTAGGAGATTTACTTTTTTTATTGTTTTACCAATTGGTAGTCCTTTGACCAGGTTTTGCACTTGTTTTTAGCTTTTTTTATCGGCAGCAGTTTATACCTTAGGAAATGTTGGTATATATAAGCGAAGCATACATGACCGTCAACGCCGGGGAGGCTAGGGGGTCATGTCCCTCTCTACTTTTTTTTGCGAGGACCTTTTGTTTTAGAAATATAGGCAATTGTCTTAGAAATGATGGATTTTATTTTAGAAAGTGAACGCCCATTGGCATAATCCAATTCAAAACACGCTTTAGGAAGCAAATCACTATTTTGGTCTATAAAATGAAAACTGTTCATTTACTGATAAAATAATTGTAACAAAATTTGTTGGTAATACATAGTGGAACACTCATGTAACCGTTATTTTAAAAAAAGTGACAGAATTTCAAAGTAATTGGTAACGCTTTGAGGTATAAGTAGAAAAAAACTGAAAAAAATTTTAACTAAAACTGTAATAAATCCTATACCAGTCATCCAATCAGGCTGAAATTTTGTCCAGAGTTTAATGTGACTGTTGGCTACATTTGCACTAATTTTTATCAAATTATATTGAGTTTTGACTTAATTTGGACATTCAAATTAAATTATTTTCCGCGGACAAAATTAAATGATTTCAAATTTTTGCATCACAGGGTACCTTGATATGGATGCTAACTTTCCGTATAAGTGGCGTTCTTGGAACAGCTAGGTAGGCATTATAAGGATCGGTGCTAACCGTGTTTGTGCAGTAAAATTTCAAAGAGTATAGGTATTTTATACAAAATGAGAAATATTCTATATTTATATTTAAAAATATTTATATTAAAATTTATTATATATATATATATAAATATATTGCATTTTGATTTTTTTAAAACTATGTACTAACATCGTCGAAGACACTGTCCTCCATGTCAGAGTTTGACTTGCTATCTTTTAAGCTGTCAATCACTACAAAATTTTCACTATAAATACTGTTTTTATCATCTGGTTTTAAAAAACGGATTTTTTCATTTGAACTTTGAGAAGATTTTTTTAATTTGAAATAGCGTTTTTTTCTCTTTGGTAGATTTAAATTTAGACGCAGGGAACTATTTGGCGACTCACTAGAATCAAAATAATGACTCTTAAAATTTTTTTCATCAACTTTCATATTATCCACAGGAACTACTTGTATTTGATCTACCTGAGCCTCATTATCTTCTCCTATTGAATTTAAATTGGGAGCTGTGTAATTATCTGCAGGCCTGGTGATTCCACCAGGGTATATTTTTGTGTTACCTTGTATTTTTTCTAAAATGTTTGCATATGGATGAGATTCTAAGTTAATGGAATCTATACCAGTTTCATTTCTAGAAAATTGTTTTTGAAATGTGCTTCTTCGTGAACCTGATCGTATTAATGGATGTTCAAAGAAACTGTTTTTGTGTTTTTGTTCACCAGAAAATGAAGTATATCTTGTTGAAATTTTTCTTATTGTTATGGATTTATCTACTTGGTCAGCCGAAGCATTAAAAGAACTTCTTGAAATCCTTTTTGGGGTTGCATCGTCGATTTGGGTATGCACTCGAAATCTTCCAATCACAAAGCTTCTGTTTGCAACAGCTTCTAAAGATTCAAAAGTCCAATCATCAATTGTTGATAAATTAATGTCATCCTCGCTCATTCCGTCAAATGGATCATCGAGTTTGTCTTGAACACCTTGCAGAGCAGAAAAGACAAACGCCACTAGTACAGAAACATAATAAGGTGACCACTCATTTTTTGACTTCTTACCTTCAAAAACGAAGTATGGAGATAGGACAATAGGTAAAAAAAAAATGAGTACTTTGTTAAAAGAACGAATAGATCTCGGAGATCGGTACTCGCGAATCACTCGTAGGCGCTCAAATGCTAAACATAATGAACTAAGCAGAGTAAGAGATCTAGACACAAGTGCTCCATTGGTTGGTAACTGACTTTTTCGTAAACTTTCAATCAATTGGTTGGCGTCACTAAAATCTTCATACAATGCTTTCAGTATGACTTTTCGACGTGAACTTTTATTCGTTAGAAGATATTCTCTCAAGTAAAAAAGCATACTTTTCATTTTTTGATGGACAGCATGCATCCAATTTATATCTAAAAACGCTGCTTCTCTCCAATCGCGCATGCAAAAAAACCATGACAACCCTGCGGCTTTAAAATTTGCTAAGTCGTCTAAAACTTTTTCGCGTCTTTGAAAATCAGCATTAATTGCAAATGCTAAAGGAAAAACAATAGGAGATACAAATAACCCAACGTTAACATTGAAAGTTAAATTAAAATACTTAGACAAATAGATAGAAATAGCCGCCATTGCCATCTGGATTAGTACCATAAAGTTAAAATTTTGAAAAAAACTTTTTATTGTTTCGGGAGTGAAGGTGTAAATAAGAAAATCACGGTAGTATAACATTTTTGTTGACGATTTAAGCCTTCTTTCTTGAGACCAATCATATATTATTTCTCTTCCTTCTTCATCTTTAATGTCCCAAAAATGGCTCCCAGCCAAACTTGCTCTTTTGCGTTGTTTTCTCATTTTCTAAAATAACAATTAGAAATTTTTTTGAAGTACTCAGATTTTAGAATTAATTAATTCTAATTAATTAATTCTAATTAATTAATTCTAATTAATTAATTCTAATTAATTAATTCTAATTAATTAATTCTAATTAATTAATTCTAATTAATTAATTCTAATTAATTAATTCTAATTAATTAATTCTAATTAATTAATTCTAATTAATTGATTCTAATTAATTAATTCTAATTAATTAATTCTAATTAATTAATTCTAATTAATTAATTCTAATTAATTAATTAGAATTAATTAATTCTAATTAATTGATTCTAATTAATTAATTCTAATTAATTAATTCTAATTAATTAATTCTAATTAATTAATTCTAATTAATTAATTAGAATTAATTAATTCTAATTAATTAATTCTAAATTAAATTAATTTGCGTTTAGAATTAATGTTTAAGATGGTATCTCATCAAGTTGATGTTGCTTAACATAAAGTGTTATACTATATGGTAGCTTTATACATAAAAGGGTATACTCCCATTAAGTGTATACCTTAAGTCATATGTTGAATTAAGTAAATCACTGTAAATATCTTTAAATAGAAAACTATTATGTTTACTTAATAATTTTCAACATAATAATTTTCATAAAATTTAACTGTATTTTTTTAATTTTTTTAGCCTTGATTTTATATTTTAACCATTTTTTTAAATAATTTTAATAAGTTATTTTAAACTCAACTGTAAAACTAAATTTTTCTACTTATATAGTTAACACATTAAGTGTTAACTATATTAACTTTAGGGGTGGACTATAAACTACGTCACAAAATTTTTGACCGTTTTCGACTCCTACTGAAGATTTTTATCATAAATAAAAATTTTACGGTTTACGGTACTTTTCTAAATAAAGTACCGTAAACCGTAAACAGTATTTTAAAGTACCGTAAAGTACCGTAAACCGTAAACCTTTGAATAGCGGGGTAACTTTGAATACAAATCTTTTTTTTTCAAGTTATAAATATGACAAGATTTTATACGAAATTGTTTAAATCTCAAACATTAAAATTTTAAAAATAGTTTATATTTTGATTATTTAAAGTTTTACTTTGTTTATTGGTTGTTAGTGTTCCCCAAAAAATGAATTAAATAATTCGGATATTTTTCTCAAAAAAATTAGTCAGAATATTTCGTACACTGCCTCAGCTAGTGTAACAGCTTGTTTTCTAAGTTGCATAATTTTTGTTTATAAATTTATTAAGCATGTAAAATCTAAAGAAATTTGTTTGCCTACTATAATTATGTTCCATTGCTGTAGCTTAACATACTTTGTTGTATACATTTTTTCGCATACGGGTAACTTTGAATAACGTTCAAAGTAATTCCATTACATAAATAGTCAGAAACATGAAACAATTTTAAAATTTCCTTTGTCATACATTTATTGCATAGAATATATTAAGATAATAGAATACATTAAGATAATAGAATATATTGTTTATATATATATATATGTGTGTGTGTTTGTATATGTATGTATGTATGTATATATATATGCATATATATATATTTATATATGTATATATATATATAAAATATATGTATATATATATATGTATATATATATATATATATACATATATATATATATATATATATATATATATATATATATATATATATATATATATATATATATATATATATATATATATATATATATATATATATATATATATATATATATATATATATATATCTTAAATTATCATTCAGTATATAAATTATACTGAATGATAATTTTGTGGTAACAATAAACATTATTAGATAAAAAAATTATTAAATGTTTATGGGGTGCAAGTTGTCCCTTTATATAATAAAGTTTAAAAATTTAATCCGTAAACACATGGAAAGTCCAAAGTTTTTACAAATGTGCAACATGTTATGTTACGTCAATCGTATTTAGTGTTTCTGATCAAGTTGCCTGTGGTTATGTTTATGAAGCTGACCATTTATGCACAACAAGAACTGAAGTCGAAAACCTAATGTATATACTATCAAAAATACAATCAAAGCCAGAACGGTTTGATTCTATTCACTTTTTTGACTGGTTTGTTATTGTTTTTTGTCAAATTGTTGGAGCATTCCCATTAGTTAAATCAAAGTAGTTTTTACAGTGAAAAAGTACTTGAATTTACTAAAGAAAATAGTATCTTGTTGAGAAAAAAACAGTATCGTGTTTTATAACTGGTAACTCTACCCATTTATTGCAACCTCTTAATGTTGCATTTTATTGATCTCTTAAAAAATATTATAAGAAAATACTTGATCAATTGGAAACATTTTGTTTAAAAAATGCACTGACTATTACAAAAAATAAATCTTCTTTGTTCTTTATTTACTTATAATCATTATATTTGTTAAATCAAAAGGTAATCAACAACTTAGTTGTTTAGTGGTTTTGAAAAAAATATAGGAGTTACCCATTAGATATAAGTATCATCTTCAATCGTTGGCCAGATAGTTATAACTTTAGTTCGCCGAGCAGTAATTAATGTACTTTAACAACTTGTTGGGGGGAAAAAAAATTACTTTTAATCTTGTTAAAAATAATTCTTTTAAGGATTTTGAAAAAAATTTGAGGTTATGAAAAAATGTTATATTATTTTAGCAATAATAAATTACTGTGAAACTAGAATGTCGTTTTTATTAAATTTTAAAACAAAATAAGGCGTTTTTGGATAGGTTTTACTTTTACAAAAAACGCATTTAAAGTTACCCCATTTGCGGGATAACTTTGAATGACTATTTAAATTAAAATTACACGCAATACTTTTATTTAAATATTATTTTTGATTTGAATTATGTAAGAGTCAATATTAGCCCCTATATTCATTTTGTTAAATTTCAAATATTGTCAATAGTGAAGTAAGAGCAAGTAAAAATATCTCAAAAACGTTCAAAGAAACCTCGTTTTACGGTATTTGAAAATATTTAATAAAATTGTTGTCAAACCAAGAACGGATTAAACACAGGTAGCAACAAAACTATCAATAAAACTTGAAAATCAGTTTAACAACTTCTTTACTAATTTTAGTATAGAAGAATGCAAACTAAATTTTCATATAACATATTGTAAAAATATAATGTAAAATATTTTGGTTTATTGATTTTAAAAATTAATTAGAAATTTATGAATAAACGGAAAAACTGTTATTAATTATTTATTAGTTGTTTATTTTTAGTCATTTTTTATGGTACAAATTTAAAAATAGTAAATATATGATGAGATGTCGTTTAGATATTTGAAACAATAATATTTTGCTATAGACATGTCTTAATGATAGTAGTTAGTAAGCAATTGATGGTGGCTACCTACCGAGTAGCTAGTTGCAATAGCAAAACTTCACATCGTTTTCATAATTAAATTTTACTATAAGTTTATAATTAAATATCACTAGTCAAAAACATATATTAGTAGAAATGCTTTCTGAAAAATTAATACCAGCCAAAATAAAAACTCTAATTAATTCAAAAGATACAATTAAAATAGTACTCAAGATTTTAGTAATTAACATTATATAATAACTTCATGTAGCAATCTTTAATACATTTCAAAATATATTTGAGAGAATTTTTTTTTTTTTTTTTTTTTTTTTTTTTTAATTTTACATTTGTTGGTCGTATTACAACTATATATTGCCAAAAAAAATAAAATAAAAATAATGATGATAATAATAAACTTTCACAAATATAAAATAAGGTATCTGAAAGAAGATCAAAAGATCTTGTCGTCAGAACCTTAAATAAGTTCAAACAAGCATTAACAGTATCCAATTTTTACAAATTTCATATATATATAATCCAAATATATATTTTATAATCCAAAGAGAGATCACGCGGATCTACTCACTAATATTTTATATAAACGTATACGTGAAGTAAAGAATATAAAATCAACAAAATAAGTAAGAATAAACTTTTTACAAATATAAATAAGAAAAGGCAAAGTTATTAATTTATATTATTAATAATAACATAATACGTCTACTAATGAAAAAATTAGGGTTTTTAATTTACTTTTAAAAAACCGAAAAGTAATGGGTAGTTCGAAATCAAAATTGGGCAAAACAATTTTATTCCAAAGGTGTGGTGCCCGATAGACAATACAAAATTGATTAAAGTTCGTTTGACAGAAAGGTTCATTTAAAAAATCAGTATTTCTCAAATTGTATTTGTTGATGGGTTTCGGAGTAAAAATATCTTTGAAGACAGATTGAGACATTTTTCCACATGTATACAAAGCATAAAACATTATATATATTTAGCTCGTATATATTTAAAATTCTCATTTCAATAAAATAATGTTTTGCGTGAGAAAAGCGATTTGCAAAGCAGATTAAACGGATAGCATGTTTTAGCTGCAACATGTCAATTAGTTTATTCTGTTTACTTTACTGAAGATTTAATTTCCACAGCTATTTTTTGCGAGTTTTCAAGCACTTGGACTATGCTTTGAATACAGGGTGAGTCTATTCGCATGCGTGTGCAAATATTCGGATTAAAAATGCAAGTATTTGCACGCACGTGCAAATAGACTTGATATAGTCTAAATATATGTTATAAAAAAACTTATGGTTAAATTTTTTATAATGGAAATTAACAAAAAATAATAATTTATATTTTAAGTTATTTTGAAAGCAATTTAATCTAAAGTAGTAATAAAAAATTACTTAAATTTTATGCTCAAAATAATAATAATAATGTGCCAATAGATAAAATAAACTTTGAGAAATTCTTTTTGATTGCCATAAATTAACTAAAAGATTGCAATCGGCCGGCAATCTTTTAATAAAAAAACTTTCTCTTTAACTGAAAGATTGCTGTTATGTGTACACTGCGCTCAACTTTGCTAGATTATTTTTAAAATTAAAAATCAAATTAAAAAAATCGTAGTATATTCAGTTTTCATTAAATTTATTCTCTTTTTTTATTTAAGGTGAGAATAAACTTAAATTAAGTATAGTCTATTCCCACATGAAAAACGCAAACACAGTCACTCCGCCGAACATAAAATAATAAACGAAGTTTAATCGATTTTTAATTATCAGGCTTCATTTTGCAGGGAATGTGTTTAATATGCTTATAGTACAGCTAGCTTACAATATTTTAATAGAAATTAAATGGAAAAGAAATAAGAAAATTAATAAACTCAAAAAAACAACATATATATATATATATATATATATATATATATATATATATATATATATATATATATATATATATATATATATATATATATATATATATATATATATATATATATATATATATATATATATATATATATATATATATATATATATATATATATATATATGTGCATATATAAACACGCACACAAAGACAAGAAAAATCTAATACTTCCAGTAATGTCTTCGACGCCAGTAGTTTATTGTGCTGGTATGTTGTTTATTTTTTATACAATAAATAAGGTTGTTTTCATATAATGGAAATCCTTTTTAAAAACTGTAATAAAAATAAGCTCTAAAAAATTTACCAAATAAGTATTTAATTAAAATTAAAACGTTCTACCTCGCTCCACCATGCACTTAATTTCATAGCTAGATGATTTTCAAATGCCATACTGAAATTTCTTTTCATCCATTTGCTTCAAAATAGAAAAATAAATCATGCTGAATAAATAACTGATAACATTTATTGAAGATTGGCTCGAAAATTAAACGGCTTTTGTTGTTTGGTATTTCATGTTACTAAATTAGAGTTTAGATACAAAAGCTCGTAAAGTAGTACTTTGATATAAAGTTACCATGGTAACATTAACACTTTAATAACAGCGCAACTTTTTTTAATAATAAATTACGGAAGTATAAATATTATAACCGATGCAATAAATATGTAATATGCAAAACAATAAAGCACATTTTCAACTCAACCTAATTGGTTGTTTTGTTTAAATATATTGTATTTAGTGCTTAAGAGTTTTTGTTAATGAACGCGCTATTTTTACCATTGATCATTCTGTAGATAAACGTTTTAAAAGTTTTTATTAAAGATGAGCGTTTATATAAATGATGAACGTTAAACAAGTAAAATTATTACAACAATCAACGTTTTTGTCTAAGCATTGCGCGGAATCTTCTCTTATTATTCGCGCAGAAAAAAATTTTCACACCACAAATGAGTGAAGAACGGAGAAAAAATAAAAATTATTTTAAAGATGTAATGTAAAATTCTAATGGTATAAAAAAAACCTCAGTTTGTGACAGTTTATATGTTCATAGGTCTTGGCACTAAGAACCGTTTTTCTATATAAAATATAAACTTTTTTTTTTTACAGAATGTCTCTTTTTTAAATAGAGAAATAAAAGATTTTTTTATTGTATAAAAAATTAAATAGACGCAAGCTCAAAGAAGTAGAAAATGACAAGTCTCAATAAAATCTTGTAATTTTATTAAAAACTCTAATAAAAACAAATGTACAGCCTTAATAAATTATAATAATAATAATATTAATAATAAATATGATAAAGATCTTAATAAAAAAAAAAAATCTTAATAAAAAAATCAAATAAAAAAAAATTGTTTTTTAATCAGACGCTTAAGCACTGTAACTTTAAACGCGTCTTCAGAAAGTTACTTTAAGTTACTTTAATATTTCTCAAGTTTTTAAAAAAATTGAACTTAACTAAACATTTTAATTTTTTTACGACCGTGCGTTTTTTTTAAGATATAACTTTTGGTTCATAATCAGTTACCGTTTTTAAATTTTTGACTTTTATGAATATTGGAAAGTATTTGCTTATATCTCAACTAGCCTGGTTGTTTCCAGGTAGTTATGTAATAATTTAACAATGTAACTTCCAGGTAATTATTAATGAGAGTATTAATTTTGCCGAGTTTTTCATTCGATTTATTAATAGCTGACGCGTTATTAAGGTATTTCTTTACTAAAAATTTTGTCAATATTTCGTAATATTGACAAAATTTTACAAAGAATCCAAAAAATTACAAATCTTATCTCAAAAAAGTAAACTTTTCAAGTATTTTGGGTTACAATGGTTGTTTATTTTGAGATAACTTATATAGCAACAGTTTCTAAGGGGAAATTTTCTAGAAGTATATTTTGTAATTTGAACTAATTTAATAAGGGGAAATTTTCTAGAAGTATATTTTGTAATTTGAACTAATTTACTAAAACAAATATTGTTACCCTAATGGCTAGTATATCTAATTATAAAAAAAAAGTTTTATAATTTTTAAAAATTAGATTTTTTTTTTATTTTTATTTGTATTTTTTGAAAAAATAATATATTTACTTTTTTCTCCAAAATTTTAAAGAAAAACTTTTTAAGAAAATTTTAAAGAGGTTTTTGACAATACGCTTTGAAAATTTCCCAATAATTTTAGTATGGGTATGATTAGAATTCGAACCATAATCAAACATTCCAATAGAACCTTTTTATTTTTTTGAGCAATTTGGGGGCAACATTTCAGGCATTATAACTAAGTGTAAAAGTAATGTCCAACTTTGGTTTGAGGCTCAAACTGTTATGTTTCTTTATACTCTGAAAATTTTAGTTCGAAAGTATTTTAGTTGCAGAGTATTTTAGGATTCAGTCCTTTTTTTGCCTTTTATCTCATAAATTCGGCGCATGCGTAATGAACTTGATAGTTTTTTTAACTTAATTATTTTTAATGACTGTGTACAAAATAACTTACTTATTAAATGGAATCAGTTAAATAAACTTTTAATTTTAATGGTGAAGAAGTGTGCAGTAATTTTCAAAAACTTTTTACAACACGTAATAGTGAATCTAAAGAACACCATTTTGGAGTCTTTAAATCAACTCTGCTCATCGGCGTTAACATAAATTTAGTTAAAAGTTTTTTAAAAGGTTCCTTAATTTACTATTGATCCTAGTTCTAATCGGTTCTGACGTATATTGACAATATATATAGTTGTCAAAACTTAATATTACTATACATTTTCACAAAAAATACTAGAATTCCGACCAAGGAGGAACTTAAAATAAAGAAAAATTGCCAATAAACAACCAGAACAGATCATATTATTAAACTATAATGTTCATTTCACCTTAAAAATATATTTATTCAAAATCTTATTAAAATTTGGACAAGCGATTGTGATTTTAAGGAAAAAAAAATTTTAAAAAAAAGAATCTTTGGTCTGGGTTTTTTCGCTACAAATATTTATATTTTATGATACCACAAAATTTGTAGTTTTAATTTTTTTCGTTTTTTCATAGTTCGCAGACCTATTCATTTAACGAATATATGCCGTAGTCATCAAAACATCATACAGACGCTATAATATTTTAAAATTGCCTTTACTACTCCGAGCAGCCCAATTTAGGTTTCTAAAATTTAATGACTTTTTTTTTTTAAAGTAATAGGACGATATCAATAAAAATTCCCTTTATTCCCAATATTTTGTATAAAAAAAAAAAAATTTCACTTAACGCGACATAAGATTAAAATAAGGTAAAACAATTTAATAAATATTCCCGATATTGTAAGAAACGTGGTAAAAATATATATTCCTTGATAGATCCAATTAGGATATTTCATAACTTATTATTATTAATTTCGATGAAAAAATTTTCATAGTTATCATTTGACAAGCATAGTATTTTTTTTAATCTTAAAACCATACTTTTTAAAAAAATAAAGCCCTAGTCCTTCACCTTTTTAATCTTATGTCGCGTTAAGTGAAATTTGTATTAAAAAAATATATATTTGCAAATACTTTTTATTTATTAATACTTTATATTATTATAGCGATAGCGGTTTCTAGTTCGCAAAGATTACAAAATAAGTAACAAAATGCCATATATATATATATATATATATATATATATATATATATATATATATATATATATATATATATATATATATATATATATATATATATATATATATATATATATATATATATATATATGGCATTTTGTTACTTATTTTGTACTACGTTTTGTTATTACGTTAAACGTAGCTACAAGTACAAAATAACTTTGTTACTACGTTAAACTTCCGTTAAACGTAGTAACGAGTACAAAATAAGCAAAAAAATGAAAAATATTGGTGAGCTGATAATTTACAGAAAATCATTTTATTCCTTGTGGCAAATAAAAAAGAAGATAAACCTATATTAAGGCATTAGTATGTTCAGTAAACTTATGTGTGGCTATTGCGCATTATATATTGGCTAAAAGGATGGGATATTGTTTGCTGTTTTTTTCTTTTAGTAATATCGTACGAGGTTGCTTTAGTCAATTTCTAAGGCCAGATCAAGAGAGATTGGTCTTATTTAGATTCTAGGAGCCTGAAAATCTGTTTTTCTTTATTTTAGGTTTTTTAAGTTTATTTATTCATGGTCAAAAATAATTATTTTTTTTTGAGAAAGAGCGGCACACCAGGCCTCTCTGAAATGAAAATACAGTTTTTCAATTTCAGCTTAAGTGAAGATGCCGTAGCAGAGAAAGTTCGTGTTTAAAATTGTTCTTAAGTTTATAAAGAACGTCTTTTTAAACACGATTAAAATACGATTTTAAAATACGATTTTAAAATACGATTTAACAGCCATCGATAGCTTTATTTATTTATACTCAAATATAATCATTTATTTTAAATTTATGTTTATTAAAAATTATTAGAAATCGTTGTTTAAAAGCAATATCAGTATCAGTAGGTTAAGTATTTAATTTTTTTACGTTACGAAACGATTTAATTGCAATTGAAATTCCATTCATTCAAAGTTTATGCAAGTAACACTTAGAGATTTTCATCAAAACTTATGAAAGTTTTCCTAAAAAAAGCAACTTTTTTTTTCTCGAAGAGTAAGGGCAAACTTTAAGTATTATTTCTTTGTCGTGTAAAATGTGAAAACACTTTTAAAAAAGCGCCAAGTTTAACGAAGCGTCTTCATTCAAAACTTTATATATAAAAACATAAGATTTAATTTCAACACAAATCTAATATTTAAAATTTAACTTTTTGACGGAGCTTGTGAGAAAACCTAATTTTATCGGGGAACTTTTCGTGAAACATACATTTTTTTTTTTTGTTTTTTTGTTTTTTTATTACATGTAAAATAAGTATTTTGTTACAATATTTCAAATACAAATATATAATAATAAATTTATATATAAATATAATGGTCGTTATTAGAATATAAAAGAACGCGGGGACTCATAGAAGACCATACGGTCTTGTCGTCGAGTACCACTAAGAAATGTTCGTGTTAAAATTTAAAAGATAATTACAAGGTTAAAAAATAAAAATAAGTTAACAAAAGTAAGAAACTTAAAATAATCCATAATAAATACAAGACGCGTTATATCTATTATATATGTAAATTATAGTTGTTAAGGGTACAAATATACTTTTTATAAGTTCATGTTTAAATAAAGATCACAAAAAAATAAAGATCAAAAAAAAATTAGAAGTATATTGTTAAATCATCGATTGTAAAAATGAGTTCTTTAAGCTTTTAAAAGAAAAATTCCATGAAAATTAGAGTTGTTTTCGTTAATTTTCTGAATTTTTCTTTATATATAAAAAAAAAAAAAAAAATTGACAAACGTTAAATTGAAGATTCCAGCTCCATTTCCAGAGTAAATTAAATCAGGTTTTGCAATCAAATTTTCACGGGAAAATAATATTTTACAATGTTACATTTTTTAAACTTTTGCAACGATTAAAACAATTTAAACAAAGCAACTTTATTATTAAAATTTAATTTTATTAAATTTTCATGTGT